ATCGGCAACAGGCTCATATCGGCCGATAATATCGGCAAAACGATATATCGGTCGGGCTCTAATAAAAAATACTTATTACAGAAATAAAATAAAGGAATATACTTGAGTGTGAACTGAATGTAATGTTTTAAGACACTTAATTGCATATAATTAAATTATTTTATAGTTTCAATTTATATTAAATGCAAGTATATAAACTTTATAGTACTTTTTTGACCCACTTAAAGGGATAGACGAAAATGAAAATTTTATCATCATTTACTCACCCTCATGTTGTTCCAAACCTGTATCTGTTTCTTTCTTTTGTTGAATTTTGAAGAATGTTGTTGTTCAACCAGACAGTTGACGGTAGCCATTGACTTCAATAGTATGGAAAAAAAACAATGGAAGTCAATGGCTGCCATCAACTGTCTGGTTGAACAACAACATTCTTTAAAATTACTTCTTTTGTGTTCAATTGGAGAAAGAAACTCACAAAGGTTTGTAACAAGTGCAGGGTGCGAAAATGATGACAGAATTTTCATTTTTGGGTGAACTGTCCCTTTAAATACATATTTATATGTAATTTCATAATTACTTTGCTGTTTTTTCAGTGTCAGAAACATCATGATTGATGTGTCTTAAGGTTCTGTTTCATTAAGCTGTGCTCAGCTGTTTTTGAATGCAAACACACACAACATCCCTCCAATACTTAAAGTGACCACTTACAGTGTCTCTATATACAGTTACTGTTGCAACTCAACCAACCAGAGGAAAACACCACCATATTAAAAGGAATACTTCACACAAAAATTAAAATTAGCTGAAAATGTGCTCACCCCCAGGCCATCCAAGATGTAGATGAGTTTGTTTCTTTATCAGAACAGATTTGTATAAATGCATCAATTAGTCACTTGCTCACCAATGGATCCTCTGCAGTGAATGGGTGCCGTCAGAATGAGAGTCCAAACAGCTGATAAAAACATCACAATAATCCACAAATAATATTGAGAAAAGCTGTGTGTTTGTAAGACACAAATCCGTCAAGATGTTTCTAAAGGGATAGTTCACCCAAAAAAAGAAAATTTGCTGATAATTTACTCACCATCTAAGATGTAGCTGTTTTTTTCTTCAGTAGAACAGTAAAGATTTTTAGCTGAAACTGTTGTCCTTGGTGATTCATAAAATGCAAGTCTGCAGCTACTTGTCTTTGAGAATAAAAAAGCATATCAAAGCTCCTGATTATATATTGAGGTCCTGTGAAGCAAAATGATCGTTCTAAATGGAGCATTATTTACTAGAGCCCAACCGATATGGGTTTTTGGGGACCGATACCGATATTAGGGGGGTAAAAAAGGCCGATATCGATATATCGGCCGATATTCTTTGTGTATATTATGGATCCCTGAATTTGGTGCGGATTCGCCGCGCCTTTATGGAAATATGGCCGTTTAAAGTTTCAATGCTTTTCCATAGACTTAAGCTTTAAAGCATTTCATCCAGGTCGCCAGTAGCAAACAATGGAGCACGCTCAGCTGGACAAACTAAGTAATTACACCATTTCAAGCATTTTATCTGCGTTATATGTTCTGTAAAAAAAAATTTCATATCGGCGGCATATCGGCTAAACGATATATCGGTCAGGCTCTATTATTCACCACATTATTATCTGGTATCCATAGATTCAGGCAAACATCTGGAGTGATGTCCAGTTTGCAAATGAATGACTTTTTTGTTTTTGGGGAACTAGTTGAACCAGTTCACTGAATCAGACTGATGCGTCTGAAACAGCTTGCGGATCGAACAGCACAGATATATAAGATACTCAATCAAAACTCACTTTCAGACGCCTGACAGTCACTCCGACTCGAAATGAGCCAAAATAACAGCATACATGATCCTATGATGCTGGTCTTGCAAACACTGATCAAAATGATTTTGTGGTGAAGTAAATACTATGGAAAAACAAATGTAATTTCTACTTTAGTTCAGGCACGAATAATAAAAAAAGAGTAAATTCTATATTAGTACTCAATTTAAGCTTGTAGAAATTAAAGTTTCCGAATTTGGTGCGGATTCGCCGCGCCTTTATGGAAATATGGCCGTTTAAAGTTTCAATGCTTTTCCATAGACTTAAGCTTTAAAGCATTTCATCCAGGTCGCCAGTAGCAAACAATGGAGCACGCTCAGCTGGACAAACTAAGTAATTACACCATTTCAAGCATTTTATCTGCGTTATATGTTCTGTAAAAAAAAATTTCATATCGGCGGCATATCGGCTAAACGATATATCGGTCAGGCTCTATTATTCACCACATTATTATCTGGTATCCATAGATTCAGGCAAACATCTGGAGTGATGTCCAGTTTGCAAATGAATGACTTTTTTGTTTTTGGGGAACTAGTTGAACCAGTTCACTGAATCAGACTGATGCGTCTGAAACAGCTTGCGGATCGAACAGCACAGATATATAAGATACTCAATCAAAACTCACTTTCAGACGCCTGACAGTCACTCCGACTCGAAATGAGCCAAAATAACAGCATACATGATCCTATGATGCTGGTCTTGCAAACACTGATCAAAATGATTTTGTGGTGAAGTAAATACTATGGAAAAACAAATGTAATTTCTACTTTAGTTCAGGCACGAATAATAAAAAAAGAGTAAATTCTATATTAGTACTCAATTTAAGCTTGTAGAAATTAAAGTTTTAACTTATAAGTATATTTAACTTAAAATTGTTTGTTATGTTTACAAGTAAATATCAGTTATGATCTCGTTGTTCCCATCATGCACTGGGGCATGAATAATTAATAAGGTTAAATGTTTCAATGTTTTCAAGTTGTATTTACACTGTTTTATGGTTGCTTTTGTTGCTAGGTTTAGTAACTTGCTGTTTTGTGACTTCTGGAGTTAATTTTCTACTCAAAATGACCCATTCATACTCAAACACTCTACACTGATTGTTACCGACATTGTGTATTGTGTAATAACTATTGAGTAGACGTATTATCTGAAAAAGGATAACAAGCTGTTCACTCGCTTACTTGCATATTTGTTAGCGAACTACAAGCTTTAATAGCATGGATTTAATCAGTGCTACATTGTTTGAGTAAAGTTTCCAAACCAAGACTGAGTGAAATGTGCTTGAGCATTACAGAGTAAACTTAAAATAATTTAGTAGAAATGACTCGTCAAACTCTAACTTGGCCACGTTAAATTGACTTATTTCCTTTGCTAATTTTACTTAATTCCATACTTAAAATTTACTAAAAAAATATGTGCAAAAACTTGCAAAAGAAAAATTAAGTAAATTTTATTTATTATTTTCTTCTTCATCAGTGAACTCATTCAGCGCTCCAGTTCCTCCAAGTACTTTTTCAGCAAATTTTCATTTTTGGGTGAACTATTCTTTCAACCCTTCACAACATAAAGGCCCGTTCACAGCAAGGATGATAACTATAACTATGAAGTTTTAATAATAGTTGTAATTCTATGAGAAAAGCAAATTCCACACCAGTTATAACGATAACAACACTGAGAAATTATATAGTTGGAATCACTTTCAGAACGATGTTGAAGTATAAAAACCATTGGCAGACAGCCAATCAGAATCCACCCAAATTTAAAGAGCACTAGCATTTAAAGCGACAGATGACAGAACTGCAGCGTGGGCTTATACAGAACGCTATCGTCCATTGATTAGTGTTTTCATAATTTTTGTCACTTTCTAGAGTACTAGACTACTATTATTGTACTAGACTAAGTACTAGAGTGCTGGGATGCTCAAGTGTTGATCCATGTAATGATGTCAGGGATGATGATGATTAGCTTTT